TCCCCACATAAAATACCCTCCACCTGACAAAGTACCCACCGGGTACTAATCAAGATTTTGCTCCTAGGAATGTAAGATACCCGGGGTACTATTTGCCGCAAATTACGGTAATCATTGGCAAAGCTTATTTCTCATATTGCCCACCTATTCTATAGAACATCCATAAAAATTTTACATTGCTGCATTGAGAGTATAATGGCGAATCGGGTTATCTTGTGATCCCGTGATCCGATTCCTCTCGATGAGAGGAATCGAATGGCATAAAAATCGTCGAGTTTTGATCACAGAGTCACGGGATATCCCAATTCGTCACAATACCTCTTACTATAGTTTTTTATATACTTAACTCTGTGATCAGAATTGTGTGGTTTTATATCAATTAACACCTCTCAATGAGATGAATCGATTGTATAAAAATCGCTTGGTTTGGATTACAGGATCATAAATAATTAAAAAAATAACTTAATATTAACAACCAAAAAGGGTATATAAAAATTGAAAAATATTTACCATATCGGCGGATTGGTTCTGAATTGATCCTAAATTATATCTTTCAAAGTTAGCAAAATGAACCCAAAATTTTGTAGCAAACAAATATACGTACATATAAAGATAATTTAAGGGGTAAATAGATACAATAACGGCGTTATTGTATCTATTTACCCCTTAAACTATATGTACGTATATTTGTTTGCTACAAAATTTTGGGTTCATTTTGAAGATTCAATTTCCGCGATATGCTTCAATATCTCGTGATCCCGTGATCATAATCGAATAACGAGATATCCCGATTCGTCATAATACCCTTCCCTCTATTATCAGTTCAAAATAATCCGGCTGTAAATTTTGCTTACGAGCTTTATTTAGCTAGTTATGGCGTAAGTCGTAATAGTTTCTAAAGAGCAAGTTATTTCACTGATAATTTATAGTGAATGGTTGGCGCAAAAATTTTTTAATGGCACGCCATGGCATGCCCAAATTTTTGATGCGCCGTTGGCGGAGCCATCTATCTTACGCCAACTACCCTAGAATTACCTCAAAAATTTGTTAATTCTACAGCCCTGTATTACTTAATGCCGGCCCAGCTCAGATGAAATTTCCTGATTTGAGATTTTGCCATAAAAAATCTTTTATGCAGTTGATCGTATCATGTGTTACTATATTCGAATTTTTAATCGAATTTTTAATCAGAATAACGATTTCACTTTACCAATTTTTGCTAAAATGAGAAAGCGCAAAGGAAAAGGTTTAGCTCAACGAACTCATGACAAAATTAAAAATTCAAATTATCGAAACAGAGAGCATACAATCCTTTATGATGAATACACAAGGTATTTCTTCTAAGTATTAACTGTGGAAGGCGAATTCAATTAAAAATTTCATCAAAATATCAATCAAGAACACTTTCAAATTCAAATAACAAAATCTAATTGCATGATCGTTGATGCGGACAGCGAGGAACAATTTAATTGCAAGCGTGACTTGGCCAATAATGAAATTGATGAAGAAGGTTGAAATTTTTTGACTTAGAATTGGACATAAACAAAAAAATATTGATTTTAAAACATTAATTTTTTATCTTTTACAATGGCTATAAATGTAGACAATAATATTCCAATGACTCTTGGAATGTGGGCAAGTCATCTAATAACACTTGTTTACAAGTTAATACAAGTCATTCTCGTTATAGTGAGCCCGATATAGTGAAGTTCCAATTTATATAAAATTCTCGATATAGCGTATTTTTAAAAATTTTTATTAATGAACCGATTAATTCAACATAACGAAAATTACTTGTAAACTGAAAATATCACGCATAATTATGTAATAGTTCGCATTATTAACTCTTTAATTAGGATTTTGAGCATTGTGATCCAAAAAAATGTTCCGGTAAGAAACTTGCAAGATTAGGTATTGTGAAGCTTTTAAAAGTTTCACATAAATTCCGTGGAATAGTTTTAAGGTGAATCTGTATTTCAAAATTCGCTTGAAGTTATTTACGTTAAAATTCTCAACGTTTGATCTCTTTTATTAAATATAGTCCACAAGGACAACAAGCTATTTCACCTGCAGATCGAGTGATCATACAAGAGCATGGTTTAGCTGTTATTGATTGTTCTTGGGCGAGGTTAGATGATGTACCGTTTGCAAAATTAAAGACATTTAATGACAGATTATGTATGTGGAATATGGTATACAATTTGAACACATTACTCTGGACATATCGACAATTTTTTTTCATTATTAAAAAAAATTCAAAATGTCGATATAGCGAGTTATATATTAAATTTTGAAAAAAATTTCGGTATAGAAAGATTTTACTATGATGTCGTTATGGCTGATGTCGAAAATTTTCATCATAATTATGCAAATTATTTGGCCAATTAGCCATAATTATGCAAATTATTTAGGCCGATTTGTATAATTATGCTTTGGTTTCTTTTCAGTATTCTAATTTTTACATGCTAAGTGTTTGGTAACGTTTTGACATCAGCATCAACTCGATATTTATTGTTTTTATGAATTGAAATTATGGACAAATTCACGTGATTAATGTTGTTTACAATAGTACCGTACTTAGTCGCAGTGAATCCCACAAATTACGGTCGTCCATGGAAGTTGAATTGTGTTGAAGCTTTTGCTGCTTGTTTTTATATTACAGGTAAAGATTTTGTGAAATTTCTTTTGTTATACTACCTGATTCTAACAGCTCATTCTTACGCTAAAGGTTTTCCTGAGTATGCACAACAACTTTTGTCTAAATTTAAATGGGGTTGTGCGTTCTTCTCCGTTAACGGGTAAGATATAAACATATAAAATATAACAATCCAATATTTTTTTAATAATGCTAATTTTATCCTCCTTTATATCTACCTTGTTGGAGGGCTCATGCTTAACATTAAATTTAGCGATTTACTTAAGAAATATGCCATGTGTAAAGATTCTGGGGAGGTCGTAAAAGTTCAGAATGAATGGCTAAAAGATATTGAAGAAGAATATGCTCAGGCACGCGAAAAAGGTGAGATACATCTCCGTACAATATAACATACGATCATCTCGGATTATTCAACAAAATTGGTTCTCTAGATAATGATGATTTATTAGTAAGAAATCCCAATCATTCATTTTTGGATGATGATGATAATGATAATGATGATGATGATGATGATGATGATGATTCAGACTTGGATAATGATTTAGTAATTAAAGGTTCGGATCAGCCAATAATAGAGGATGACTAAAGTGGAAATTCCGAACTGAAGATTGCAAAGGAATAGAAACCACTTTATTCTTTTTATTGAAAAATAGGATAGTAATCCCTAGGTTTTAAGACAGTGTAATTACTGACTAAAAAACACATGTTGATCTTTTTGTTAAAATCAATATAATTTACAACTCCGGCAAGACTTATATACGTATCTTATTCTTCAAATTATCTTATTTAAAATCTCTAATTGCATCAATAAATATTTATTCAAAATTACAATCGAATGATGACGTGACGTGTTCTGATTTTTTTCTGGCGATATTCTACTAAACGGAATTTTGGATCTGCAGTCGGAGATATTAACAAATACTACTGTATCACTTTTATTTCTATGAATATATAATTTTGGACCGGTAGTTGTCGAGAAATCTTCATGTAAAATTTTAAAGAAGGAAATTTATCTAAATTTATCATTTTTTCTAAGATATTCTAATTTTCCAAACTTCAACAGAAGGTTTCTTAATAACTAGCAGTGCAAATTCGATAGAAATTTTTTTTAAAAAGTTATAGAATTAAAATAAAAAAATTTTATTGGATTCGGTTAAATAGCAAAAATACCATTCCTGATGGATCGTCGGTACTGTTCCTGATGGGATGAAAAAAAAAAACGATTTACGTACCGTTTCTGATAACTAAACTACTGTCAAAATATAAGGCTATTGCATAAAAATTTGGCAGTCCCATGGGTATTATTTTAAATTATGTAATTCAAAGAGAGCTAATATTTAATTTAGCTGAATACACCATAATTTTAATGTTAATAATTCTTTTGCTAAATTAATTATTAACTCTCTTCAAATTACGTAACGCCTATGGAAGTTTTTCGCGTTTCGGTACTGTATTATTTTAAGACAAGTTGAAACTAGTGTATTGCCTCGATCATATAATCCTCGATCATTGATCGATTAGGCTTGATGATCAAGCTCGATGCCACAAGTTCGATCAAAAGTGAGTCAATCGATTAAATTAAGAAAATCTCTTATACGTATTACAGGGTATATATATGTCATAAAAAATATTATATATATATTATATACAGTAATAGATCAATGGTTGACCCAATGATTGGTTGATTATGTATGCTCGAGCAAATAAATTACGTGCTTGATCGATCATACTTGATTGATACAAAAAAAATTTTTTCTATCAATTATCGATCAACGATTTTTTTGTCGAGTCAATTCCCTACTAGTGATGAGGGTTTTTTTGTTAAGTTACAGTAAATACAGAAATAAATATTTTTTATTATACTGTAATCAAATATATTTTTTTATTAATAAAATAAATAAAATTTGAAATAAAGAAATAAATATAATTTATTAATTGAAAGCTTTGCAAAACGAGGTTGTTTTTTTCGAGTTCTGTTTAAAAAAATATATATTTAGTATAATTTTAAATTATATCATACATAGCTACTTGATAATCTAGAGTATTGTACCTAAGATGTTGAGTATGATCTATGAAAATTTCTTGTATCATATGTTATTATTGTATTGTTGTAAAACAAGTGTGTTATACATTTTAGAAATAGTAAGTGTTGACTTACTGAAATTTCAGGGTTTGTTTTGATATATATAAATGTGAGGACTTCCTTCTGTATGGGAAACTGAAAATGGTTTAAGTTATATATAAACATGAGGATTTTTGTTTTTTTACATACCGAATATTTACTGTAGAGAGAAACTTTATTGAAGATGGGTTTTTTGCTCATTTGGCATTACACACTACAACCTGACTATCTACTACCGCTTCAATTCAACTATCTGCCACTTCAATTCAACCATCCACCACTTCGACTCAACCACCCACCACTTCAACTTGACCATCCACTATCACTTCATGTTTAGCGTGTGGGGATTCTGTTTACACTAGCATGAGTGAGATGCTTTATCTGCATTTCAGTAGCATAGTTGTCTGTTAAAAGGTTTTTCATTGAATTTGAGAGTCTTGAAGGTTCTAACAGCCTGAATTCATTCACTTCTGTTAGAAAATGTTTTGTAACATCAACGTTGAAGTTTCAGAACAAACTTTTAAAGCAAATTCTTTAATGCTTTGTTCCCTTTTTGTTCTATTAATTAGAAACTGATCGTTTTATAATATTACGATATCTGATATTATTACAAAAAGTTCGAACTGCTATTAAAGTAAGGCTATACAAAGTGATATTTTTGGTTCTTATAACATTACAAGGTGTAATGTCCTAGAAAAACTAAAAAACTTTGAAAAACCTATACTTTCCATTATAACTGCTGGCTTTAATATCTTCGGGTAATTCTAATAATATATAAAAAAAAGTTCATAAAATTGCTGCATCTGCAGCAGTTAAACTGAAAAAAATAGCTGCTATTCCTATGAAAAATAAATTTTTATTTTGACCCATCAACTTAGCTTTTAATTTTTAAATTAAAAAATTTTATTATTTAAAAATATTAGTCTCAAAGTAATAACCCGGTACCTGGCAAAAAATTTTTATAATAAAAAAATTTTTAGTTAAATATTCAATCATTGTACAATTTTAAGTTTTAACCAATTAGAATAACTCTATAAAATAAAATATAGTCTTCCATCTGTCTTATACAGTATTGTAAAAATTCTATTACATAACTTACTATTTTAATAATGCACAATATGTAGTTAGGGTTGGGATAGTTTGTATAAACTTCTGTTGTAGAGCTTATTCATTATTTCGGTATGGAGTTAAATTTGAGCTTTTTATATTAGAATTATTATAAATTGCTGTAAAAAATTCTGTTAAAGAACTTGGTATTATAGTGACACCAAAATTTTTATTATTACTGTAAAAAATTCTTTACGAGACTTACTTATGTTTTACTATTGTTTATATCTATATTTGTATTGCTGTAATAAACTTCTTTATTAAAAAATATTATATTATGCTGTTATACAAAACCAGGAATATAAATTTATAAATTAACATGATTAGATAATACATAAGTAGAGCGAAAAGGGAAGTTCTGGCACACTTTTTCACACCCCTATATGAAATCATGTTTAAAAATCATTTTAATTGTCATCCTGCTATATTTTATAGCACTTTTATATACTTTAGCTT